AACGTCTCCTTGTTAAGGTAACAAGTGCAAATATTCCTATACAAACAAACATCTAGGATGTTACAGGTTAAAGAAGTTAGATAAACTTTCACTTGCTTATCTGTACCTGTCAACACAAACAGAAGCTGTGATATAAAAACTCTCTGTAAATAAAAATGAAATTTTTCAAGGGATTTTGACCCAAGCAATTTTACATGTTTATCTTAAACATACTGGTATTTGTATCCATCAAATTGTTATCATATTGGAAAATGACAAATTGTATGATTTATTTAGTTCACAGAAAAAAAACATAAAACCAGGTAGCTATCAAAAAAGTTCAAACCACTACATTTGTAGACATAAAGAAAAACATTGACATTTCAGAGCATTATCCTATTAAAACAATGTAGACCACTTCTTACTTGAATATTGTACATTGGAAGCTGCCATCATATAGAACAAAAGGTACCATTCCAGAATAGGAGTCAGTAAAATATTGCAGATACTTTAAATAGTGCTTGAAGACTGCAAACTACAAATTAACTAAAACATTGCAGATCATCTCTAAGGCATTGCAGATAGACACTAATGTTGCTGAATAAAACATTTGAACACTGAAGCATGGTGTAGAGTTAGAGCACTCTACTCCTTGTCCAGAAGTGGTGGGTTGGAATACCAGTGGTAAGATTCTCTTGTGGCTTCCTCAATTCATACAGGTGCAATTACTGGTTAGGAAAGCCTGGGAAAGCAGTTATCAGGTGCAACTTAAAAAGCGCTATGTAACTATAGTAGGGGTTTGACAAAATATGAAAAAATCAAACCATAGAAGCAAAAGAAATAGACAGATTGTCAATAATGTAAACATTAAAAGCACAATGTGACGTATTGAGTAGGTAAAATTGTGCCGTTCCTACAGAGCATTATAACATGGTGTGTATTTAAAGTAGCAGATTTGAGGTAACCTCTTTCTTAAGTGGTGAATTATCTTTCAAGAAGAGTTATATCAGCCCTATTGAAATGTTAAAGCCTTTAACAACTGATTGTGCGGATATATTGAAGATAACCTTTCATAATATTTACAACAGAATGATATTTTCATTACCAATTACAAATATATTGTAACTTTTATATTTAATCGGGTACTACATGACAATACAATTTTGACCATTGTAACACTAAACATTAAATTTATACCACAATAAAAGCAATAGGCAACATTTTAATAGAATTCTTTTTACCAAAAATGAATATTCCACTCCCCCTACCCTTCTTGAACATAGACAATGCCCCTCGTCCCCACCCCACTTGAACTTAGACAATTGAATTCACGTGTCAGTAGTTCTACTCAGGAAAACTTACAATAAAGTAAAGTGGAGTACCTAAAGTCATTCTCCATCAGTAAAGCTGAAAAGTTGCCATATGACCTTAAGAGTGCTAGTGTGAAACTTTATTTAATTTATACAGAATTTATTTTAGTTCAGTTGTGTTGGAAGCTATCACTGATAAACACACTCTGGAATCCGTAACTGGAACCAACCAGTACTGAGCAGAAGGCGTAAAGTTTCTTGCAAAAGGAAACAATGACATGCCCCTGACAGGGTTTAAACCCACACAGCTAGATCCTATGGTTACTTGTCTGACGCTTTAATCTGACTTGGCCATGTTGCCACACTTTAATTTAAAACACTACCGAGTTAAGTAAACAACATAATTATTAAATCTGTATGAATATGCCTTTTTCTAAAGTATTTTTGACTCTACAGGTATTTCCTTCAAAAAGTTTGGAAAGAATAAGGGCAACAATGTACAAAATCTTATGAATGGATTTTCTTAACCCAATTCATCACACCAAATTTATTCTATTGATGCAATGTTAATATAAATAATAAACATTAATTATTTATAAATAAATACATAGGCATCTTGAATACCCTATTTCACAGTTCAGTTCAAATTAATAAAAACTCTCTTAAATAAAAATTATTTTCAAAAATATTCTATTTCAAATTTCCTGTTGTAACTATTTACCATTTTTCATTTTGTGAAGGTTGTAAAATTGTTAGTATAGTCCCAATTTAAATAATTTATAAATATAACAAGGTAACCTCTTTCGTGAGAGTTTACAATGACCTTTTTAATGTCTCCATTTTGTTAAAACAAACTGATACAATACCATTACCTGACAAAATAGAAACAAAAATCAAAATTATGCTGTCATTCAAATGCTCGGTGACATTTTTATTACACATGATAAAAAATGTGTGTCGCTAACGTTTTTTAAAACTTTTTTAAAATGTTTTTCAATTTTTATCAATATTTTTAAATTTAAAGAATAGTTTGTCCATTTTTTTCCCCAATTTCAACACAATATTGATTAGTCTTATATATCAGCAATCGGTCCACCTAACCGACTTTCCAGGATACGTTACTAACCAGTAATTACCAATTTCTCAACAAGTGACCAACAACTTATCCCACCAGCAGTGAGAGACAAACTGACCATTGCACTCTATGTCCGAGATCAATTTTGTCTCAGTGACCATAATTAATGTCATTATTAATTAATGTCATACAATTAATTTCAAATTGAATTTAAAATTCCCCTACAGTTTGCAATTATAAATTTAATTGTAATTTAATATCTTTAATTCTATCTTTTAACAATCCAGATTACACTTAAAAGTTTTGATTAAAAATATATAATTTTTTTTTTTAAATATCCTTCTTTAAGTGTATTGATACATTTGTAGCTCAAAAATCTTTTCTAGTCATTGACCCATTTATTATAAATCGTTCAGTGTAGGAAAATATACCTTTAATTTCAATGAAAAAAATTAATTAGATAATTTATGATATTATTTACGCTTGTCACAATAATATTGTATCAAATTTTCATTATATTGAATATATTCAAAGACCTTCGATCAACGATCAGCTCGATAATTGCAATTATTCAAGTTTCAGTAAAAACATCGCACCTTACTGAGACTAGAAACATGATCACGGGAATTTTTAAAGTGAAATAATTTTATCGTATTAAAACATGTGCACTCCTCCACTTAATTTACTCATTGCAATAGAATAATCTTTCAAACCAAGGTTGTTCTTTTTACTTAAACAGAATTGCGGTTATGTAAATTTTACCATTTACTTAATTCGTTATTGAGAACCATGAATAATTCATTGTCAAACAAAATTTTTCCCTATAAAGTGTAAAGAAATTGATCCTTTACACTGCATTTAATTTTGTTTCATTAAAGAATATCGACAGTAAAAGGAGTGGCCGAGCACATTTTAATAGGTAACCTTTCATTGCCACTAAAACCTCAACTAATCAATTGTAATTGATCCTTCGCATATTTTGTTTCTTTATTATTGTTTGGTTTTATTAACCTGTCAATTACATACTGATTACACGGTCGATGCACACAATATATTAACCTTCGGTAGATTTTCGGAAAGTTCCGTGAGATGTACGTTGTACGATGGAATTTAATTTAATTTGTATCTATGAACTAAGTGTACTGATCGTTATAGCGCAATAGGGTAAAGCACGAGTTTATAATTTAAGTTTCATAGATGTTTTGAGTTCGAGACCGCGTTGATCCATGTTTTTTTCATTCTTATTAATACTTTCAACATTATTAAAGCTACACATGATTATTTTTTATGTTGTTAGTTTTGTTTTATTATGTTTTGCTTAATTTTGTAAAGTCTATACTCTTTTTTTAAATAACATGTTTTAAGAATTCATGTTTAAAATTAAAACGGATTAAAACCAATAAATGTCTTTTCAATGCCGTAAAACACACAAAAAATCGGTTCCATTAAAATATACTGCAAAAATAAAGAGAGAGTAAAGTCTAAAAGAATTTCATCAGTAAGGATCGAACCACAAATTCTCTTAACCGACTGCACTATTGCGAATTAACGAAAACTTTCACTTTAAGCTGGCCTGACTTTCAAAAAATGACTTATATACTGAACATTAATTCTCGTAAACTACACGGACCAAACCGAAGTGGGGTCGAATATTTAAATGAGTGCTTTAATGTATTCATAATTGACAGGTCAATGAAATCAGACAATACTACAATGGAATATTACGAGTACGGAAACGATTATATTAGTATCAGAATATCATGTATATTCACATCCCTTTCTCACTTAGATAAATTTTCAGCAAGTCATAAAGATATCATTCAGAATAGTGTAAAGGATTATTGACTAAACACTAATAGATATCGTTACTGTTAAATGTTTATCTAAACCCTTAACAAAGTACTGGCAACACCAATGGACAGTTCAAATGTCCCTTAAAAGCTTAAAACAACGCCTTTACAGCCAAAAAATGTAGGAAAATCTATTTTAAGCCTTAGTGACCTTGTTCCAATCATAAAGGTCAAATATGAAGAATACCAACACACCAAAATATCTACCACATCAGTCACTAAATAAAGGTGCTATAATAAATTGGTGGGTCCTCAGTGAAGGACTATGAACTTTATGTTTATTTGAATAACTTTGGGGAGTGTTAATTTCAGGAAGAAAAAATTACAGGTACATTTTGTAGTCCTCCTGGAAATTGCATCGTTAGACAATCATTATTTACAGTAGATGTATTTAAAGATTTTTATAAAATGATGAATGTTGACAATACATAATCTACATGTTTATAAATAAATCAATGTTGAGAAATGTGTAGACCAGACTGCATATTTTCTACATTAAATGTCAATTTGTGTATTGATTACTCGGCTACTTTGTTCAGCATCCAGATGTTGCAGTAATAACAACTAGGCTTCTTCTATTCGGGCATGTGGGAAAAACTCGATTTCAAATCAATATTGAACCATTAAATCACAGGGTGTGGACTAGTGATGAACATTTACAATGTATAATAAAAATAAAGTGACAAGTTATAACTAGAAATGTTCGAGCTGCCTTGTTTTTTAACACATCATGTTCACAACTTTTCACCTGAAGTCCTTGAATATACATGTATACTAATAACTTACCATATTTGACTTAGAACTGTTAGCGGCAGTCGAGAATGCAGGAATAAATCTCTGGCTCGCTCTCCTGAAATAAACAAGAATTATTAAAACTTTTGACTCATTTATCATTGAAATTGTCAAGAAAAAAGTTGACAGGAAGTTGATTAAGAGACATAGTTAACCAGTACTGGTGTCATATGAAGAAACATGGTCGTGACCTGATTACTTGGGCTCCGACCCATGATCCCTGTTTGAAGCAACAAATAACAGAAACAGACTAAGAAGTCTTGGAGGGATATAAAAAGCTTAAAATAGTAGTGCTAATATAAGATGTCAATGAACATCTGGGAAATATGATTATCTAATTAACAATTTCCAATTAGATGGGTTATATATATTCTGCAGTTAAACAGTTTTAATTTATTGATTGTCACACAATTGTTTATACAAGTAACAGTAACAAGTATCTTTTGTGTCATAACAGATGCTTATTTAAAAGATAAACATTCTTAAGGCTATATGATATGACATTGTGGTTCTTGTAACAATCTAAATGATGAAAAAAAGAGATTTTGATATTATGGTTACAGTAACAATCTAAAGAAGGAAAAAGAAGAAAAAGAACAAAAAAGAACAGAGATTTTTTCATCTTTTAAAATTATTTGATTAGAATTGAATACTTTACAGAAATTCTTTATAATCAGAATTGTTAACACAACAAAATGATTTAGGATCGTGTAAAGGGTTTATGGAACTTCACTGTTACTTCTGTAACATAATAGAGTATGTGATTGTGATCTACCGGTATGCTGGATGATCTTGGTCTGCACTGGTAGCCTGGGTGAACTCAGAAGCAGCCTACTTAGGAATAAATCTAGTTCTTTTATATTAAAACCCCTAACATAACTTTGAACAGTGACAATGAAAGGAACACAAGTCTGTGGTGAAAGGGTTAAAAACAAATGTATGATCTGAATGGAAAGAATGATGTGTGACAGAAGTATCAGTTTTCAGACATATCAAAAGGAAGTGACTTGTCTTTGAAAATGTAATAATATGTCATAAAATATTCAAAAGGAGTTTATAAAGAATAAACAAGTGACAAAGCATAAACTACCAATGCTTCTATAATAATCTTGTTTCTGGTGTTCATTTGGTGGAGTGATTATGACTAATGACTTAGGGTCAGTCTTGCCCCTCAGTCACCACACTGTGGGTTGGATCCAGTGCCAGGGACTCAGGAAACTTTCAAGTAATTTAAGATGGTGATTTCTGCTTAATCAAGATCCCACTTGTGCCTGAAATAATGCAAAGAGGGACACCTGAAGTTTTCAGGAAAACAGTCCAACTGATATTTTTCCTTTTAAAGATGTGGTCCATGACAACAATTGATTTGCAATTTTCTTCTATTTTCCGTAAAAGAAGTTAAGTAATTAATCAGAATCCACCACAGTTGTTGTTTAATTTGAATTACCCAGTACCACAATTCCTAAATTCTGGACCAAGATTCATCATTGTCAAAATGGATCGATGGAGAAAAAGCTGATGTGTTAAATTACCTTATGAAAGTAAAACTTTCACTCAACTTTGTACCATTCATTATAATTATTTATATATTAATCCAATCTATTAAATTATATGGTAAAATACATTTCTAGAATAACTATGATCTTAGACTCTTTGTGAATGGTTAATATCATTTTGATTTTAAACCTGTTGAAGTAAATTTTGTGGTTTTAACTATACCGTGAGAATATTAAGTTGCATATTTCAAACATGGTAGATTAAAATCAACTTAAAATATGGGATTAACTATGTAAGCGACAAAAAATAAATGCTTGAAAAAAAATTTGTTTAAAACAAAGAAAAATCATTTTCAGTCTTAGTCATTTTTAAATGATGTGTAACTATAAATAGCAATCATTTCAACACTAACTTACTTGACATGACAATAACAATAGACTTTAAAAACCCAAAATAAATCAGGAAGTTTTATCAACAATCAATACCATTTTCATATAACTCTCTCTTTAACTTCAGTATACTAATTACAACTGAAAAAATCAAAGTCAAAAATAATAAATTTCATATTTAACTATCCGAAAGTTGACGAATTTACTAAATAAGGAGCACAATGAGTACATTTATGACAGGTACGAGGAACAATATGATGTGGATTATCTCACAAGATGATCAGAATGTATTATCTTTCACAACTCCTCCCGAGGGTCAGCCTAGCCTCTGATGAGGGTCAGATAGCCTCATGATAGCCAGAGATAGCTTAATTACTGAAATAAATATTTCATGATCTTTTACAATTACTACAAGTTTATCAGAAATACGCTTAACTTTGTATTGAACAAATTGATCCTTTTCTTTCGCGTGATTAGATATTTACTTTCCGCTTATCAAAGTGGGCAATAATTATACATTGTATACAAAGTAATTATTATTTCAGTCAAAATATTGTAAATACCGAAGATAAACATTAAGTAATTTGATCTCTATAACCATTTATACATAGTTCTCACTAAATTTTATAGTAAAAAGAAATCGGTAAAATATGTCAACAAGTAACGACACATTCATTTTGCCGATACATAAAATGCATATTATTTTAAATGACTTAATAAATCGGTAGAACAACCTTTAGACTTGAAAGGATGTAGTTTAATCGATGGAGTGGGTATCCATCTTCTGTTTTACCTGTTTATCGGCTACACCAACTTGCTTAAATGAATTTAATATGAAAGATGTAAACTATTTAAAAAACAACAACAGTAAGGTGATATATGATAAGTGTTAATTTGCGTGTGGAGCCCACTCTGACTACTAAATTTTTTGTATCAAATACATCAGCAGTACAAAAGAAACAAACTGACCCCGTTATACACAATGGAGATGACCTGGACGTCGGGTTTTCCGACATTTTTTCAAAATTCTTTACCTAAATCAGCTCCACATGATTTCGTTGTCATAAAACTTTTCCCCAACATTAAAATGGACAAATAAGCTGTTAATTTGTGGGTATTTTTCACCATTGTTAAGTTGCGATAAACTGCACTTTAAAATGATTTGACAATAGGGACACCCCTGTGGGGGTTATCTCTGTCATCTAAAGAGTACCTGCTTACAACTGAGAGACGACTATGGCCAGGGGTAACAGTTTTATGATACAGAACTAAATTTTGTGTATCTGCCTTAGCAAATACTTTCATTTGTCCGGATACCTAGTTATCCGTTATTTATAATACCTGTCAAAAAATAATTAGTACAGATTTTACAGCCAGTGTATTCTTAAGATTAGATTTATGATCGAGCAAAAGTCATTATTTTTATCATTAGATAATAAAATCAAAAATATTTACAATATTTATATATCTAATATATTTATATTAAGATATTTTATAAATATTCATGTACTTTTAACAAAATACTGAATTTAGTCTACAATTTTTAAGTATATGCATAATGAAGGTCTATCTGCCCAACAAAACATCGAGAACAAAGACACTGTTTATTCATATGATTTTCATAGAAACTCATGCACACCCAAATTTTCAATCTTTTTTTATTTACATTAATTTTATTATTGTACCAATATATCCAAAGCAATTTACATAAGAAGTTTTCAAAGGAATCTTCAGCCACCAACAAATAATGTGTTAAAGCAAGTATATTTAAATTATTATAAAGTACATCGAAAATACATGAGAATTAATAATTTTTAACGTCTGTTGTTTTCTTCATCAAATTTTGTTAAAATCTTTTATTTTTCAAAGAACTAATGGTTATAATGCAGTATGCAGTATCAATGATAGTCTGAATTGTAAAAATATGATGAATCAAACCAGATAAAAATATAAACAAAAAACCCCAAATATTTCACACTATTCTATTTGTATAAACTTCAGAAGATATTTTACTAATCAGATTACAATCAAGTGTTAACAAACATAATTATGTATGACATCAGTGTAGAAAACTGCATTCATCATGATTATCAGCAGGCTATTCATTTTATCTACTGTACATAATGCAAAATATAGGGAATTTTCCTTAAAAGGATTGGACTGGAATGTTACTAAGAAACAAATTTCGAGGTTCATACAATATGAAAGGAACAAAATTCCTAAAACTAAGAGATTAATCAATACATGCCAAGCTGACAATTATATAAGTTAAATGATTGGAAAATATACTACATGTAACATATTACCAGTAATGATGTAGATTGTTTTGTTGGGCTTTATGTCACATCAACACTGTACATACATATGGAGACTTTCAAGCTTTACTGGTGGAGGAAGACCTCAGGTGCCAGCTTTGTGCATTATTGCAGTCACAAGCAGGCAAATGAGAAGAACTTCTGGCAAGCTAGCTGGATAGCTTCCTCACACGAAAGAATCCATTAAGTTCCTGACGGGATTCAAACCCATAGTGGTGAGGGGCAAGTACGATTGATAGTTTATATAGTAGGTATTAGTTTCCGACAAATCAATGTATATCACAATTAAGTTGTACTAGTATTTATCAAAGGCCCAGATAACAAGGTGACATGTGTGGAAGTGTGTAATATGCCACCACAAACACTGTCCTTGTCATCATGTAAAATGACAAAGTTTACATGACAAGACAATGGTTTACATGTTGATACTTTGACAACCTACATTATCACCTTGCCTGACTAGAATATCCCACTCACCTTTTATTGCATAAAAAAATAGCATCTTAGTGTTTTTAATAGAAAATATGACAGCAGCTATTAATAGAAGAATTTACCTTTATGGTACATTATTCAAATGAACTTTCTCAGTATTGTCATTTTTTACTATTTAGAGGCTTTATATGTCTTCCCATTGAGGGGATTTTGTCTTCCCATTGAGGTCTTCCTACTCACTGAAGGGCTCTTGATCATTATATGCAAATGGTTTACTCACAGTGGGGCTTTTGTCCACCTCTTTAAATTGGCTTTTGGTCAGTTTGCAAATTTTGCCCATCTATTGAGGGGCTTTTGGCTGAGGTACTTTGGTCTTAATAATCAGACTTAATCTATATAGAGGCTTTCTTTTTTTGTAAATCAGC